TCTTTTTCGGAGAATTTTTCTTTTTGCCTGCTCAGAAACATTAAAATTTGACGTGCCAAATACCGATATGCCGGATATGTAAAAAGATATGCAATTATAACCCACTTATACAAAAATATGCATTTATGGCAATATATGCACAAATATGCAAAACAAATATAGCTTAAATTGATTCTAAATGCTTCAAAACATATACAGTTTGTTAATATTGGATGTTTTAGTTAATCAGGAAAAATATGCAAATGCATATATTTCACAGCCCTAGTCATGACGAAACTTCATAGCATATTTAATAAGTATTTTGTTCGATTTTCTTTGAATATAGGCTAAATAGAAGATAGTCAAGGAACGTTAAAATAATTAAATAAATTTTTTAAAAAAATATCTACGCTATCGAAAAACGTTGAGGAGTGCCAACGGATTTTCAAACATGGAATTTTACATCTCCATATTTTTTATGGTTTAAGACATCTCTAACTTGTCCCATATCAAAGCATTTGTATAAACTATGTATTAAGTTCTATTGCAATATTTTACATAAAAATAGATAAGAAAAATTGTCCTTTAAAATTTCACCCCTGCCCATGAATTTTTTTTTTTAAATAATTAATATTTCTGTTATCAAGTATGAAGTACTTTATTCGATTTTCTTTGAATACAGACTCAATGCAAGATAGTCAAGGAACGATTAAAATAATTAAATAAATAATAAAAACAATATTTACACTGGCGACAAAAGGTTGAGGAATGTCAACGGATATTCAAATATAGAATTTGATAACTGATCATGTTTTGCATGATTTCAGACGCACACACGACTAACTTAACTGATAAAAAGCATTTACATAAAACAGAGGTAGAAAAAATCGTCCACACTGCATCACGGATAAACGTTATTTTCTATCAATTAACTGGCAAGGCAATGTCTTTTTTTATATAATTAATATTTCAATTTTCAAATATCAAGTACTTGTTTGGGTTTTCTATGAATACAGGCTAAATTCAAGTAGTCAAGTTACGATAATAAAATATTGACGAATGCCAGTGGATTTTCAAAGATAGAATTTTATATCTCGATATTTTTTATGGTTTAAGACACACAGGATTAATTTATCGCATAGAAAACCGTTTATGTAAAATACTTATGTCAAAAAGATAGGAAAAAATCGTCAATTTAAAGTCTAAGCAGTGGTGCACTTTACTAATTTAGTACCCTAGCAGTTTAACATGTGTCATTTTTATATTATTAATAAAAATAATAAAGAACTCCAGTCAAATTCATTGCAGGCAGTAAATAATTTTTTTCTCGAAAAAAATTAAAATAGTTCAATGTATAACAGAAAGTGGTTGAATTTATTTTAAATTTAATTAAAAAATGCCTGTTTTTTGTGTTGCTTTAAGACTTCTGCACCTCACGACTAGTCAATCATGTGCGACCTGCTGATGAAATATACCTTCACTATGAAATATCAGGTATGATTAACCGCTCTGCCTATTGATTATGTCGGACAGCCGAAATACCTGAGCCTGATAGAACTGTCCGAAACATTTTAATTTACCACTTAACTCACCGACCTAAATATTTTAAACAATTCCCAGGTTAATCTTAACAAGACTTACATGTAGAAATTGTAAATGATGGGGTGAGAGTGGAGTTCAATCCTTTTTAAAAAAGACTTACATGTGGTCAGGTTCAATTAGAAAAATCGAAGAGAAAAAGTTGAGAATACGGGATAAATTAATAAAAATTTATCCTTTATTATTTCCATTGTTTATCATTTTATAAAAATCTTTGGCCCTTCATACCTGCGTGTAAGATGATATCTGCCCAATCGGAAACTAACGATAAATTTAATGTGCTAATTAAAGTTTGTAAAAGCCTGTTGATGCTGATGTAATCAACAAAAGCATGGTTATAAATTTGGTTCTTTGATGTCTGGATTCATCACAGCCTGTAAATTTGAAAGGTTTTATATTAAAAATAATAATAATAATAATAAAAAATAAACATTTAGACTTTTTTCTAATGATCAGTGATTTTTATGTCCGAATATCTTTCCCCTTTTTATGCAAATAGTGTCCTGGCGATATTACCATTATGTTTGTATTTATTTTTTCTAAACATATATTGTTTATTTATTTAGAGATCGTGAGATGCGGTCTGGTGTGATGTAGGTTTCAGAAAAACAGTTTCTTTATCGTGCCAACGTTTCGATCTTTATTGAGATCATCTTCAGGGCTCAAAGTGCCCTCGCAACACGACACGCAAGAATGGCACAATTACACAGAAGACAAACACTTTGAGCTCTGAAGATGATCTAAATAAAGATCGAAACGTTGGCACGATAAAGAAACTGTTTTTCTGAAACCTACATCACACCAGACCGCATCTCACGATTTTTGAATAATTATGAAATTTAGTTTTAGCACCTCTACAGACCCCTAGATATAAATTTTTATTTTTTAAATTTATCGATTTTATGACCTCAAAAAATGTTCAGATTTTTAAGAAGCTATCGGGATGTCTAGTTGAAACGAGTATAATTCAAAAACGCCTAAAAGGATTTTAACGTCAAAGAGACAATTTGAAAGAGGAACGTAGCTTTTTAACGACATACCATTAAAATATATAAAGATTTTCTATAAAAAAATGTTCAAAAAATATAAAAGTATTTGTCATAAATGAAAACCTCTTTTTTTAATTGAAATAATAGTTCGATTTTAATGTTTGATACAATTTAAAAATGCACTTGTCAATTTCTTTAAAACGAATTGCCTACCATGAAAATCGTTCCATTATCTTTTGACAAAAATGATGTCGAAAAATGAGCTTGCTCTATGAATGTCAGTCAGGCAGTCAAAATTATCAGTCGAAAAATTAATTTAAAGCGATTTCCGCGCATTTCTAAGGCTTCTATAGCACTAAAATTACGACAATGAGGTCAATTTTGACCATTTTCTGACCAACTTTTCCTACAAAATGTTTATTAAAATATGCAAAAAAGCAGTATGTTGTTGATTTATCTCTTTCAATCGTACCAAATTAAAAAGAAAATGTTTTTCTAAAACCTACATCACACCAGACCGCATCTCACGATTTCTGAATAATTATGAAATTTAGTTTTAGCACCTCTACAGACCCCTAGATATAAATTTTTATTTGAATTCGTAGAACATTTTTCTTTTTACGTTAACCAACAATGAAATTAATACATCAAAAATAACATCTTTTAAGATTAATTAAATGTCTTCTAATTAATCTCTAATTTAATGCCTATTCAATTAAATGTAGTTTATTCTTATACCCACCTACTTGGACGTCCCTTTGTTGGTATGGTATGGTGGAAGGGATGCCGGGAAGCGGGGCTTGTATTCCCCAGGCATTGCAGCCTTCTGGTTTATTGTATCTT